GAAATTATTTTTCATTATGTCATTTCTAAAATCTTATTTAGTATTTCGTTACAGTTAAGGTATGCTTCTTCAGACTCTTTAATGTTTGCAAGATTTTATAATTTTTTTTCAAATTATTATATAATACTATATTTAAAAACAATATGTACAATATTTTTCTGTGGTAATTCTATTATTTAGAAAAGATGGAGAAGTTTATTGCTTTTTTTAAGAAGTCAAACGTAATTTTTAGTAGAATAATTAGCTTACCTCTGAAATTAAGTTTCCTATCAAATATCAGAATTGTAGAAAAATCATTTGAAAATCCAGTGAAAACAATCTGTAAAATAAACGATTGTTAATAAAAACACAGACAGAAAAAATGGCTTTAAATTGCAAACTATATCATTTAAAAATATACCCAAGAAATGATCATTATCAATAATTTTTTTTTTGTATATTAATATATAATTTAATATCTGTTTACTATCTTTTCTCGTAGCTCTATTTTTTCATCTTTTTTAGAATATGTTTCACATAATCAGTATGAATTATAAAGATGCTTGTCATTAAAAATTAATTGAACGCATTGCAATTCAGAATGTTTTCGCTGTTATTCGATTCCTACTATATTATATAACTCTCACACACTCTCTATTTATTTATTTATTTATCATGGTGGAATTTTCAATCGTTAATAAAATACATTTTAAAGCTCTCAATTATATACATGATTTTGTTGGATGACAATACAATAATTTAATTATAATTAATAAAATTAATTGATTAAAACTAATTATTTAAAGAACTACCAATACAGCCACGTTGGCAGCATTTTTGGCGACTTAGCGACCCTTTTGTCGACTTGTGTCAAAACTTGAAAAGGTTTTTTCTCACGTTTTAAAACATTCAGTTGAACTGAAACTTTGTATACACGATTGTTTTGGATGACAATACGATACTTTAATGATATTTAATAAAAATTAATTGCCACTTAATGTTGTGTTTCTGTCATATGTATATACATATTTATTTATATTAATTGTAACTATTTAATAAAAAGTAGCTAAAATAAAATTTTTCTTTGATGAAATTTGTGCGAAGCTTGATTGAAAGTTTAGTAATTTCACACTTGGATTGTTCACGAAAGCTCTTGTTGATTGATGAGTCTCACAATTTTGAACGTCGGTCAAGGAACGTGGATGACATGTCTTAATGGGATAACAGTGGGATTTTTTTTTGGCGTAAGATTTACTCGGACATCCACCTCCCCATCCCAATGCCTTTCATTTGGCATCTTCAGACTTACATCTGTTCCCTAATTTGAAGAAATTTGTTTCTGCGAAGCGCTTCACATCCACACACAATGAAGAGGACCGACCGGAAAGGAATATTTTCTGAGCCTTCCAAACTCTCACTTCCGGGAAGTACGAGTAATACTGATGTTCGATAAACGTTGTGCACCAAGTGTGTTACAGTTAAGGGAGATTATCTAGAGAAATAAAATCATTTTTCAACTGGGAATTCAACACGTACATTCAACACGAAAGAAATCAACAGATATATTAATCAGTCATTTTTTAAGTGTTAAGTTATTTCGAGGTTTATTTTGTTCCCATAGAACAGTGATACTCAACCTGTGGCCCGCGGGCCGCATGTGACCCACTTAGCCTTTTTAAGTGGCCCGGTCATGGCCCATTGCTCTGAGAAATTTACTTATTTAAGAACATTGTATTAAAAATTTGGTGGGAAATTCTTTGTCAAGAAATCACATATATCAATTTTGCTTTTTGCTGTTGGTGACGTACGGGTACGAATTGATATTTCTTTTCTATTTGGAACAGTTACGGTCTTCGGTAACAGGCAACAGTGGATTAGCGACCATTTTATGGGTGGAACTAATTTTTAAGTATCTTTCATATCTTGCGAGCGAAAAAATATTCGAAGAAAATATATCCTTTCAAGACGATTGGGAGGTTGACTATTTTGTAGTGAAAAACAAACATGGTTTAGTAAATGTTTGATTTGCCACGAAAGTGCTACATTTAAAAAATACCAATAAACAGGAATCATTCAATGACACTTTCCCTCGAAGATCTTTTTCAAGAAGTGTGACAAGTAGGCTTTCTAGAACATTCTTTACAACAGCAGCTAAGTGTTTTGTCAGTGGTAGTATCGCAGCGGTAACAAAGACATCCTATGAAGTTAGTTATATTATTGGTAATCCTATGAAATCGTTTACTGATTCAGAAATTGTGAAGGAGTGTTTCTTAAATGTTTCTAATTTAGTGTTAGTGTGAAAAAATAAAAAATATAAAAATAATAATTAAAAAAGCAAAACAGAAGTTATAATGTTTTGATCAATTTTCCACATTTTAAATTACCGATGCTATCTTGGTCTTAAAGCATTTCTCCCCCCTCCTCCATTTATTCTCATGTTGCGGCCGGTGTGAAATAACTAACATACGTATGCGGTCCGCGTAAAATAGCTGAAATATGTATGCAACCCAACAGAAAAAAAGGTTGAGTACCCCTGCCATAGAATGTTTACCATTAAGATAGTGCGGAAATAAAAAAAGTCACTCAATTTTACATTGTCTCTTGATTCTTCACTCACCTCATTAATACGAACTTCAGCTCGTTTCAAGATTAGCTGTTTTAATTGGTAAACAACTACTGATGGGAAAAACTTTGCAATTCACTCCACCAACGAAGCATTTGTTAATTGTATTTGCAGTTAACTTCCATGCACTTTAAAAGGATGATGGATATACTCTCCCTAAATTAAATCCCATAAAACAGAAAACAGTTTCTTAAGCACCTGGAGTCTTAAGCACCACTCAAATATACCTAGGCAACTTTCAAAATACGGAAGTCCACGGTTAATTACATGCATTTGTGTGTAGTTTGGAAGAGTTATGATACAGATCCCACAAATTCTTCTTATTCTCCACCAGTCCATTCATCAAAAACGGAATGGCTGTACCTTGACCTCCAATAAAAATCCTATTTGAATATTGATTAATGATTATTCCCCAATTTACACGCCTTATTGTTCGCTCTTTACGAGTGATTATCTACATCCGAGCAGCCGAAATGGGCGCCGCTAATGACCACTTGTTGACTGTATCTGGAGACGACCCATGTAAATGATCCAGCTCGCAATAGATCTTCCATCCTATTCGTCTTGCCGTCACGCTCCTGGTTGAAACAATGAACAAGAATAAGGATCTAATTTTCAGGTACCGATCTCTCCATTGATAACGGGTTGGTTATCTGAATAGTCGAGTCAACCCACTTTAAAAAAAAAGAGTATTTTATATAACATGTTAGGAGATGTTTTTTAAGGATGCGCAACTACCGTTAGGATCTGATTAGGAGGGTCATCGCTCACATGGGAGTATGAATAATATAGCGCCTAATGATGCTTTTCATCTGATTTTTTAAGAAACAATTAGAATGTTCGGCTGATGTATTTAAGGAAGGAAATCAGTCAATGAAAAATTATTTTTGTATTTTTATAATTACAGGATTTGTTCCAAATTTTCACCTAGTTTCGAAACCGTATAATGCAGTAGAATTATATTTTCCAAAATGCATTTCGGCTTAAACTCTATTCAAAAGTTATAACAATTATAATGATTTATACAGCTCTTCCTTGGCTTTTGGTCATCCGGTGGAAAGACAACAGAAAATAAATTGTTAAAAATAGTAAATAAAGAGAAGCTAAACTAAACTCAGTGGTACAATAGCCCATGAAGGCCAAGGTCTACTGTGCCTATCTCAGTTTACGTGACCTTAGGCGTTGGGGTGCATGTGCAGAGGTTTCAGTCAAGTGGTCAGTCTGATGTGAAACTCCCAATGTTTTTTTTCCAAACAAGCTTGGTCCTTATTTATCGATCCACTGAAGGAATGAAATGTCGAGTCAACCTTGCCCAGACGGGGATTTGAACCCCATACCTATGGCGTGGAAGCGCAATATGTTACCACTCAGCCATTGGGCTTAAATAAAGAGAAAGGTATTCTCTACCGAAATGTCATTAAGCATGGAAAGATCATTTGCAGATCAAGGTAGAATAACTTTTGAAAAATGTTCGTGAATATGAATGAAATCTTGGTGACAGGTTTAGAGATAAATTTGATTACCAAAGTCACCAAGTCAATAAATTTACAGATCAATTGAAAAGGATTTAGGACTATTGTTTGACGATAAAATTTTAGAAACTCATAGAAGGTTCTTTCCAGCCTATATAAGAATGATAAGGGGAAAAAAAAAACATTGAAGTCAAACATTTGACAGAGACTGAACGATTCATTTATCTTTTATGAAATTAGATTATGTATTTGAATTGCTGTGTTCAATATTTACGTGATTTTTGAATCTGTGGTATTGTAGATTTATTTGAATACTAATATTTATTTTTGAAAGAAAATCTGTAATTACTAGAGAATTACACATTTTATTACTTATTTTTAATTATCATTGAAATAATTTAAAATTTATCGAATATCTCCGTTCTTTGAATTAAATATAAGTCGATGGCAGTTAGTGGAATGGAGAGCCGAACTCATGATCTATTGTCCGTGAAACTTTCTGTTTTGTCAAAAATTGTACTATAAAACCTATAGACATTCACTGAGTAGTTAAAATGCAATGCATACCTATAGTTAGTCTGTGGTTGCATGGGATTTCTACCAAAGGTCAATCCCATAAAAAAAGAAGCATTAATCAATAAGAAAAATGGAATTGTAGATTTTTATTCAATTCCTACTATTAGTTCACACTCTCCTTATATATATATATTTCTATATCTTGTTCAAATTTTCAATCGTTAATAAAATCCTTTTTATTCATCCACTCAAGTTCAGGTACATTTTTTTAAACTTGTAGTGGATGACACTTGATGTTAATACAGTTTTTTCAAATATTAATTCAGTAATTAAATTAAATTAATGAATAAAAAGAAACAAACAAAAATAGTAGTCTAACACCCTTTATAAAAAGGAAAATCGCTCATTGTGTCCCTATAGCGCATTGGTAGCGCGTTGGACTTCTAATCCAAAGTTAAAATCCTACTTAGGATGGTCTAATTTCAGAGAATGGAATTACTTTTTACTGTACCATTTTATTGGAATAATTAAACTTAATTAATGAATAAATAGTAACAAACAAAAATAATAGTCCAACACCACATATAGAAAGGAAAATGGAAAATTGCTAGGGAAAGCGCTTTCTATTTTACGATTTAATATTGTGATTCTGTCCTATGTATATACATATTTATATTAATTGTATAATTATTTAATAAAAGTAAGTAAAATAAAATTTTCCTTTGTTGACCTAAGTAGGATTTGAGTTCAATTTTTTTATATGACTTGTTTTTTTAAATAAACTGTTCGAAAAAGTTCGATTCTCCTTTCTCTAAAACATTTATGTGACGATTTTTTTTATTTCTAATGGGCTGCGGATTGGTGTTTTACCATTGCAGACCTATTACATTCCCCGGAAGCTGCTATATCTTTTTTTTTGTGCGCCACCATTGCCTTCCGGATACCAATCACCGCTGGTAATTTTGGCGTCCATTTTCCTCCCTACAACGAGGCATCTGAGCTCTGAAGATGCGATCCTGTTCTAGGATTTAATTTTGCCGAGAGCACCCAAGCCACACAGACACTCTAGGACAGTGATACTCAACCTGCGGCCCAACTAGTGGCCCGGCGATGGCCCATTGCTCTGAGAAATTAACTTATTTAAGAAAATTGTACAAAAAAATTTGGTGGAAAATTCCTTGTCAAGAGATATAATATATCAATTTTGCCTTTTGTTGTCGGTATCGTACGGATACGAATTGATATTCGTTTTCGATTTGGAACAGTTACGGTTTCTAATAATAGACAGAAGTGGAATGAACAGTGGGTGGAATTAATTTTTAACTATCTATCAGTGTTGTAAATTATCGTCCCCTGCGTGGGCGGAGCGTATCGGTCACTGCGTTCAGACCCCCGTGAGGTGCATCCCGACGAAAGCGAAATGTAGCTGATCCCAGAAAAAAAATCTGAAACCTGGTTTCAGCGCGTTTGGTCGCTGTTGTTTATCGCGGATATTTTCTAATTGAAAATTTTGATCTTGGCTTCGGCTTCTAGGAGTGCCGTTGTTTTCTAGAATATTTTCAGCCTAATACTTAAATTGAGGACCTAATTTTTGTAAAATTATTAAGTTTTGTTTTATTGAAGTTTATCGAAAAGTTATGAATAAATTCAGGAAAAAACAAACTTGGACTCCAGTATTATTATCCAGAAAAATACCCACACGATACCAGTATCTATGTACCACCACACACATTTAGCTTTATTCATATCTTGCAGGCGAAAAATATTCGAAGAAAATATATCGATTCAAGACGATTGAGAAGTTGACTATTTTGTTGTGAAAAGCAAACATGGATCAGTAATTGTTTGATTTGTCACAAAAGTGCTGTATTTAAAAATACCGATAAACAGGAATCATTCAATGACACTTTTCGTCGAATATCTCTTTCAAGAGGTAATAAGCAGGCTTTTTCTTGAATAATCCTTGCACCACAAATAAGTGTTTTGTCAGTGGTAATATCACAGCGGTAACAAAGACATCCCATGAAGTTTTTTATATTATTAGTTATTATAAGAAACCGTTTAATGATGCATAAATTGTGAAGAAGTGTTTCTTAAATGCTTCCAATTTAGTATTTTAGGAACAAAAATAAAAAATATTAAAAAAGCAAAACAGAAATTATAATATTATAATCAATTTTCCACATTTTAAATTTTTCAATGTTATCTTGATCTTAAGGTATCCGACTACGTTCGGAACCGTGATTTTAAAGAAGCGTATAAATGGCTAATTTTCATGATATTTAGTGTCACTCAGATTATAATACATGTATAAAATTGTTTCAAAGACATTTTGACAAAAAAATTATTTAAATATAATATTTTGGCAAAAAATTAACTTAGAATAATCTTTTTTCCAAATGTTCTCCTTTTATGAAAAATGGTTCTACTATAATAATATTTTGCCTTTATATAGCTCAGACCTCTCTACAGAGGCTCAACTAGAATTTTAGAAAAAAGCACATCATTTTCAGAGTTACCACAAATTGAAATAATTATTCACATTTTTTTCTTAAAATTTCTCCCCTCTGTTGTCGTAAAATATGAATAAACCCACTTCTAAGTTATGTATTTCAAAAATTCTAGTTGAGCCTCTGAACAGAGGTCTGAGTTATATACAGGCAAAATATTATTCTAATAGAAGCATTTTTCACAAAAGGAGAACATTTGGAAAAAAGATTATTCTCGGTTAATATTTTGCCAAAATATTGTATTTAAATAAATGTTTTTTCGTCAAAATGTCCTTAAAATAATTTTATGCATGTATTGTAATCCAAGTGACACTAAATATCCTGAAAATTATCCATTTATGCGCTTTTGAAAATCACGGTTCCGAACGTAGTCGGATACATTAAAGCATTTCTTCTCCCCCTCTCCCCTTATGTTGCGGCCCGCGTGAAATAGTTGACATATATATGCGGCCTAGCAGAAAAAAAGCTTGAGTACCCCTGCTCTAGGATTATTTTGCATGCCGTATAATCATACGGCATGGTCGATGTCGATTTTCTGCATCATTAAAACCCACCGTCTTGAGCCGGGGTCGAACCTGCAACCTTGAGTGCAGAAGGCTAGTGACAAACCAATCACGTCAGCCGGCCGGCTTGTGAACACACAATTTAAATTTAAAAAAAGCTTAAGTTCTTAATAACACACACACATTTAAAAGTTCTAGAGTTTTAAATTGCTATATACCTACCTGCTAAATTTCTTAGAATGAATCTTATTCGTATTCACTCGTATTTCATTAAACATGACAAATTATGCAATAATTTCCTATAATTAAAAGAAAAAAAAATAATTGCAATTATTTTTGTCTAGGTCTTGGTAGATTAGTATCAAGAAGCAGATATATGTTAATTAAAACAAGTGATTGTGACACACACACAACACACATAATGTAAAACCTTATCTTAATAATAAAGACGGAAGTGTGATGAATAAAATACTATGTGCGTAGATTGTGTCGCAATTATATCAATTCGATCATTGTTGCTATCATTCGTGATTACTATGCGCCATTATACTATTACAAATGAATAGCTAGAAGGGTAGGTGCATTTTTTGATATTTTTAATCCAAGTAATGATTGTCTAATTCATATCCTTTAGGCATTTGCAGAATATATTTTTTAAAAATCCATTGAAATAGCCACAGATGTCACTTGTTTTTTTATTAACTGATGAAATGCTCGTGAGAAAATATGAAAAAATCGAATAACAATTCTGAGAAGGAAATCTAGTTGCGAATATTTCATAATGCAAATGTGTGATAATGTCATATTAGACTGAAGAACAAGTAATATATAAAAAAATTTTTAGTCAATTCCTACTTTGAATGGATGAATAGAAAGTATTTTTTTTAACGATTGAAAATTTGAACAAGATAAACATATAAATATATATAGAGTGTGAGCTAATAGTAGGAATTGAATAAATTCAATCACAAATGTAAAATTTCTCATTGCATTTTCAATAAAATATTCTCGTGTCTATGAATATCAAGCTTGTTAAGAAATGTTTTGGAAAAAAATTTCTGTGTAGTTAATATTAGTAAATTTTTTTACCTAATGGGCTGTATATTGGCTACTAACCTTTGCAGACAGGGCAAGTCCCCAAATGTGAGAGTTATTTTATGGTAGCTCCATCTAGTGGAGGTTCGCGCTACCAATTTTTGACGTCTGAATCAATTTTTAAAATCAAGCTCTCGTTGGATGCTAAATATTGCCGTGATTTGATTTTTCTGAGAGTACTAGAGCTAAATTGATACTCAAAGGATCTTTTACATATCATATACTCTTATGACTTGCGTGCCTACGATTTTCACAACTAGAAAATCTATCGACTTCAGCCTAATCGAACCTCCAACCTTGGGCTTAAGAAGCGGGTACACTGCCTCTAAGCCCCACACATTTTAAAAAAATTAAAATATTCTTTGTCTTTTTTTATGCATACTTGAATACAATTAAATTTTTAGTTAAATTGTGTTGTCAAATTAAAATATATTGTCGAAACTTCTGACTTAAAGGAAAAGTATATTGAGAAAATATTTTGATTTCTTACAGATCAGGCTTCGGCAATCAATGGCATGCGGTACAATTTTCTCAATGGCATTCTACTCTACTCCACAAATGTGTCAATTTTTGAGTGGATGGAAACTGATGATTTTGAAATGGAGTTTATTGGACTAACATCTTCAGAATTATGGAAAGCAACATCTATACGAAATTATGAAAGAACCGGAAGACTGTTCTAACGATAAATTGGCAGTTAACGTAAATTGTCAGATGTCATTTCCAAAGTGATTTACCGTAAAATTCGGTGTATAACGCGCACTTTTGACGCAAAAAATAAGATTGAAACTTAAGGGGGCGCGTTATACGCCGAGTATAAAAACAATAGATTAAAAATAATAAAACAGATGTGCACAAAAAAATTACTTCTACATGTATCGAAATACTGTTTATTTAAAAGAAACGACTTGTCTTTTGAACTAAAAGAGTTGTAGAACTAGAAGTATACACTATTTTTTCAAAAGTGTCTGGAATAATACCTCGAATAAATGACTTAAAAATACAAGGGCAATGTATACTAATATTTCAGATTTCTTCGTAAAAAAAAAGAGGGTGCTCGTTATATGGCAAATATACCTAAAAATTAAAAAATTCAGTTTGATAGTATAGGTGCGCGTTATACATTGGTGCGTGGTATACACCGAATTTTACGCTAATTGTTTGTAGAGAAAACTGCGTCGCCCAACCGGTATAGTGGTTAGCGACGCTGACTGAGGTGCCGTAGGGACTGGGTTCGAATCCCAGAGAAGAGATGGATGTTTGTAAATGTATAGTGCCTTTGCGGCATGGAGGTACTCTAATTAGCCGTTGAGCTGCAAGTCCTCTCGTGTGGTTGGTGGAAGGGGAAGAGAGGTGGAAGGTTTTC